TATTGTCTTTCTTCGGAGCACGACAATCTATAGATGTGTGTCCAGCTTTCCCACAGTTGTAGCAATTTTCGTTGAACTGCTTCTTGCTTAGGTTGCTTTTCGGTCCAGAAGTCTGCTTCCTCTTTCTCTTATTTTGAGGAGTATCCTCAACGATGTTTGCTCCCATTATTGTTGAGATTCACATCCTCTATTTTCAGCAGCTTTTTTGTCCACTTCGATTCTTAACCGAACAATGAGATCATCAAGCGACATCTCCTTGCGTTTGTATTTCAAGTAGTTTTTGAAGTCCTTCCACAAAGGAGGCAACTTCTCAATCATCACTGCAACTTGGAATGCTTCATTGATGACAAGACCTTCAATGAAAATTCTGTTAGTAAACATAATAAATTAATACTTTCAACATCAGTATTAATTCTACTTATTCCCTCTGCAAGGAGATCGTGAATAATCCCTTGCAATTTCTGGACTTGGGTAATAACAGACTTGCTATCTACCATTTTGTAGTCCAAAAATTTAGCGGCAACGAATTTGTTCAACCCGGCATCTTCAGTTTTGTATTTCCTTTCAAGCGCAATCCACAGTTCTTTTGACGTCTCCACATTATTGTAGACATTATACAGATCGTCCTCCAGTCCACTAAAAATATAATTCTTGCACAGAAAATCAGAATGCTTCCACGCCTCAATCACGAGAAAGCGTTCATTCTCTGGAGTTTCATCGGGTAGAACAGGAACATCTTCCTTAATGAACTTCTGTAGACTTAAAGTAGTCAAGTAGAAGAACATCTTCTGCTGCCACCGCTTGAAATCAATCCCGAATTTTTTTTTTGGGTTTTTCTGCCGGTGCCAATGCCGGTGTTGTTCGGCTTGTCGATGCATTGGCAGTCACCATAGGAACAGTCTGGTTCCCGTTGTCATTCGTCATTTCTGTAAAAGAATGACACAAACAAACGTTAAAATCACGTAGAGTTTAATCTCCAATAGATTAGAAAACCACAAAGGTTTTACTCTCCAGAAACAGTGAGTATAACACAAATACAGAATATAAATTAAGTTCCTTAAGCTTGTTAGTATCCTCTATTTGTAAAATAATTCTGGAGAATATAAAATAACGTATAAACAGAAATGAGAAAATAGAAACAGAATTTTAATCCGAGCCTAGTGTTTCAGCGAACACAAAGATCAGTAGCAATTCACACTTACTGTTGCTTTATTAGTAGTTAAAACAATGCAGAAGAAAAGGAGGAGAAGTCAGAAATTCTTATGGAAAATCTGAGAGAATGGACAACTTATTTATAGCCCCAACCTGTTGAGTTCAAACGAAGAGAGGTCAGTTACGTAAAATGGCCATAACGTAAATGACCATTTACGCAAATTAAAACGGGCAGAGGAAACATTTTTCGTTACAAAAACCGGACGGGCAGAGTCAATGAAACGGATAATTTGGACTATTAATCTTCCGTTACAAACACGAATATTTAATAATATTACGTTAATATTTACTATTAACAAATAAATTTAGTCCAAAAAATTAATTAATTAATTAATCAACCGAAGCCGAAGCCGAGCCAAGCGACGACGACGGCGCGAGGCTTGCCTTCTTCTTAACTCTTTAAGAGCTAAAAGAAGAGCAATTGTATATATACCCATCAAAAACCTTTTCCTCTTCCAATATGGGACAATATCCCATTATCAAGGGGGAAAACTTAAAATTTTCATTTTCCCTTCATTTCTCATTCACCCTCTTTTAAGCTTATTTGAGCTTAAAAAACTCAACAATTTCTCTTACATAAACTCTTCTTACTTAATTCTGATTAATTAACATCATAATTTGTAATTGTGACTAGTACTTTTTATAGTTAAATTATTTTGCTTTGATGAGTTTTTGCCAAGAAAGAGGGATAGGTGGGCACTGCATCCCACTCTTAGGAGACCACTGTCAATATATATAGTCTATATTTGGTCTATTAGGTGTCTTCTTGTCTCTTCTCATATTCAACCTTTCTCGTTCGGTACTAGGGATAAGGAATAATTAATCTCGCAATTAAATTTGAGATGAGTTTATCCCACATTTAGTTGAAATAAAATTGTGGTATAACTAATCCCGAGATTAGATATTCCGGAATTATAGTATTTTTATTTGCGTGGGGGAATGGGATAACTAATTCCGGAATAATTAATTATGGAACAACTTATTTCTCAACCAAACGACCCCTTAATTTTCAGATAAAATTAGGATGATGTTTACTTGATTTCTGCACGTATTGCAGTATATAGGGCAGATTCATTCTTCAGGTGAACAAAGACGTTTATGATGATTTTGTACATGCTTAATTGTCAATGATTTGATGTTGCCATATTGAGTTTTTTGGTTGCATTTGAGCAATAAAATAATAATCCACTATAATGAGTCACTGGGTGATTTTTAAAAATAGTCAGATTTACAACTGGTCGTTCAAAAATAGCTCAATTTCAAAAGTAATCGAAATTTAGCCACTTTTTATGAAAAGATAAATCTGAGCGAAAACACTGTTCAAAACCCGGAAAATACTCCAGTATATTATGCTGGAGTTCCAGCATAAGTATACTTGAACTACAGCATATTATACTGGAGTTCCAGGATAGTATGCTGGAACTCCAGCAAATATGATGGAGTTCCAGCATAAATACACTAGAACTCCAGCATAATATATTGGAGTTCCAGCAAGTATAATGGNATATTATGCTGGACCAGTCTCTATTGCAGCAAAACGGTGGCTATTTTTCATTGACTTGGTAAACGCTGGCTATTTTTGATTGACCAGTCCGAAAATTGGCTATACCGTGAAATTTTAACTCAAGGCCGTCTGGCCCTCTTTTCGAGGGAGAAATTCAAAAATAGCCAGATTTACCACTGGTCGTTGAAAAATAGCCAAGTTTCAAAAGTCATCGAAATTTAGCCACTTTAAATCTGAGCGAAAACACCGTTCAAAATCCAGAAAAATACGCCCGCAAATTTGACGGGAGTTCCAGCATAAGTATGCTTGAACTCCCGTAAATTTTACGGGAGTTCTAGGATAACTATGCTGGAACTCCCGCAAATTTTACGGGAGTTCAAGCATAATTATGCTGGAACTCCCGCAAATTTTACGGGAGTTCCAGCAAGTATAATTGTCCAGTATAATATACTGGAGTTTGGAGCACTGGTGCTCCAGTCTCCCGCAAATTTTACAGGAGTTAGCAAAGTATACCGGTCCAGCATAATATGCTGGAGTTCGTACACAAATGCACCAGAATCCCGTATATTATACTGGACCGGTCCCTGTTGCAGCAAAATAGTGGCTATTTTTCATCGACTTGATAAACGCTGGCTATTTTTCATTGACCAGTGTGAAAACTGGCTATACCATGATATTTTAACTCTTTTCGACGTAATTTTGAAATTTTCCTGCTTTTCTTTTAGGTTAATTTGGTGTTAAGTTTGTGTTTTCTACTGAATAATAACTTAAAAGTAAAAAAACATGATACAAGCTCCCCAATTAAGAACGTCAGTATGCTTCATACATTTCAATTAAAAAATTCGACTTTCATGTTTTAACAACTACTGTCACGCTTCAATTCCAAACAAGTTAGAGTCAGCTATACGAATCCTCACTTCTTCAATTCCAAACAAGTTAGAGTCAGCTATACGAATCCTCACTTCTTCATTTCGACTTTCATGTTTTACTTTGTTTAAATCTTTTCTTAGATATTTGGAGGATAGTCAAAGAAAAATCCACTAAAATAATTACGTTGAACAAAGAACTTCACAACAATATAAAAGATGGAGATGGTCTACAATTAATCCAAAGTAATAGAATGGGTTGAGACTCGTATTATGTGGAAAAAAATGTAAACATCCAACCAAAAACTTTGCACTACTATAAAACCCTTTGAAATCCTATATACTGATAATGGCATTTTATATCTCTAACACAGATGTGGCAATTTGAGCCCAAACTCATTTGATCTATCCAATCCGTCCAAGGTTGGACCGGTCATCGACCCGCTTATTTATTGAACTCCGCCCATCTTGACCCAACCCATTTCAGCCCATCGAAAGTTGGGCTGATTTTTAGGTGAAAATAGCACGAGCTGGCCAGTTTTCGGACTGGTAATTGAAAAATAGCCAGCATTTGCAAAGTCATTGAAAAATAGCCACTATTTTGCTGCAACACGAAAAGTTCCAGCATAATATACTGGAGATTAGAGAACATGTGTATGAACTTCCAGCATATTATGATGGAACTCCAGCAAACGGAAAGTTCCAGCATAATATACTGGAGTTGAAGCACTTGTGTATGAACTTCCAGCATATTATGCTGGAACTCCAGCAGTAAAAAATTCGAACTCCAGTATATTATGCTAGAATATTTTCCGAATTTTGAACAGTATTTTCATTCAGATTTATCTTTACATTAAAAGTAGCTAAATTTCGATTACTTTTGAAACTGTGACTATTTTTCAATTACCACTAGTAAATCTGGCTATTTTTGAATTTCACCCGATTTTTAGCCCAAATTGATCCATGAGTAACTTTGCTTAAATTTTTTTTTTGGTTTGATATGTTATATATGACAATAACAAAAGAAAAGAGTCTTATTTGATAATTAAGCAATTTATTAGAAAACAATACATATTAGTTAAAGCTTGATAAAAGTTGGGCAAGTTGGCTATGACCCAAATTTTAACCCAACTTGACCCAACCCATCTCAGCCCAAGATATTTTTGGGCGGATCAATGACCGCACATTTATTGACTCACCCTTTTGACCCGCCCAAAATCAGCCCAACCCGCCCATTTGACACCCTACTGTAACAGTATCCTTCTTGTGATTGTTAGACTCAGGAGACCAGCATTCTTACTCATGTACCAACTGCCATGCCTTCACAGTTCACACTATCCACATCAGTTGAATTCTTACAAATGCTATTTTAATTGATATGACCTTTTGCATAGGATATCACTAAAAAATATAGGAGATCCGTAAATAAAACACGAGAACTTGGTCGAGTCACTTTTTTCTGTTCAAATTGTAAACGGGCATAGGAGATCATTTCCTCCTTCCAATGTCACCCCATGTTGGGCACATTGACACTGCAAAAGCAGCCTTCAAAGTTTAGGCTATAGCAGTAATGTACAACAACAACAACAACCAACAACCAAGTAAAATCCCACAAGTGGGGCCTGGGGAGGGTACAGTGTACGCAGACCTTACCCCTAACCCAGAGGATTTGAGAGGCTGTTTCCGAAAGATCCTCGGCTCAGCGAAAGCAATTTGTTCGGAGCAGACATTTCTTCCGAATGCAACTGATATAGGAACAAAGAAATGGGAGAAATAATAGTGGATAAACTATACAAGCTGGAATTTTTAAAGTTGCTACATTAAGCAAACTATTGTTGAGAACATTGGCTAAGATGGCTTAGTCTGTACATGTGCAGATAGGACCATGAGGTCATCCAAGAACGACGGTATCATAGTCATCTTCTGTAGATACCCTTTTCTTCATAGTGTTGCGAAAGATCTTAAACTGTTAGAAAAGTAACCACTTGCTAGCACTATTCACGCGTTTGAGTTTTCAGTGTGGTTAGTTTTTTATGCAGCTCCAAGTTTGACATCTTTTCCATTTCCAAAGCACGTTCAAGCTTTTATCCAGCCAAGAAAACATTTGGTGTATAACTTTAGCTAAGAGAAAAAGGAAACAACAATATTATAGCAATGTACCACAAACGATGAAGTTACCTTAGCTGCTCGGCTGCTCCATTCTCCCAGAATAGCTCTAAGTCTCTCATTTTCTTCTACATACTGTTACAGAGAGAGAGAGAGAGAGAGAGAGAGAGGGAGAGAGAGAGAGAGAGAGAGAGAGAGAGATGTCATGCAAACTACTTTGAAAAAAGAAAAAGAAAAAGAAAAACGCAAGATCAAGGGAGAGCCCAACAACTATACAAGACAGACAATGAAGATACTCAGATAGAATAACGCTAGTTAGTAACTACTAACTACGGCGTAGTACCAGTGTATATGGTTCTTTAGGAATTGCTAGCAACCCTACAATGTTGCACTCAGCTAAGCACTAGAAATGCCTTCTGTATTCAGTAAAAGAACCCCTAGAGGGTGAAATGTGTCTGGACTTCATTTTATAATATCTTTCATACCATCTAATAGTGTTATAGAAGCAAACTGGTAGACTTATTTCCTATCCCAAAGAAGCATCTACTCCCAGGAGTGAGAGGACAAACAATTACCTCCCTCAATGAAAAAGTGGGATGAGAAATAATTTAATTATCAATCGCAGAATCTCAGAAAGAGTTGAATTGACCCTCGACATAGCAATAATGTAAATGTAAGAATTACATGTTGACATGGACATATAAATGGATGATGTGTGTTTGGACTATCATCATTTGCCTTTCACTATATCTCACAGTTACATACTACATACAGTTGTACTGTGGCTTTGCTGTTTATGTTGGATATCCAAATTCTAGAGATTGAGAATGTATATTAGATGACCGAAGCCAAACTATCTTGACATTTTCAGTAGATTCATTTTCCAGACAGATTGTCACACAAATAAAATAATACTTACATCTAATCGTGTCCCAAGGTGGCAAAGACATTTTCTCGTAATTCTTTATACTTGAAGAAATGAACAATAAAGGAAGACAATCCATCAAAATAAAAAATTTGAGCTCCTCAAATTTAGGTGAAACAAGGGAAACCACACCGTGGAAAAATTAGATGCATAAATTCATAATATTTCTTTGTCAAAAACAGGAACTTTCGATTATCCTAAATATAAGTAAGTCATACAACTAAAATTAAATTTTACATTTGGGGTAACTATTAGGGTTAGCTTGAACGAGAAAAAAGAAGTCAAGATATAAGCTTTATGAAATTGGAATGCACATTTGACAAATTAGATATTACTAACTACGACCTTTAGCAACCAATAAATTAATTAACACCGTAAACAAAGAGACCCAAGAAATCAGTCTGATATCAATATGCTAATTTCTTTCAAAAGGGTCCAATTTTATTAGGCCAATAATGATTACATCAAAAGCTAATACTAAAATGTTATTTTATAATAAGTTTATTCTTAATAGCAAATAAGTCCCAATTGCTTAATGAAAAGTACAAAATATGCAAGCAAGACAGAATCAACACAGGCGACCGTCCCTAGAAGAAAATTAAACTCAGCTGTAATTACACCAAATATCTTACTTGTTTTCATAACCCAAAAATGCTACTTGACTTTTAAAGCATTTTAAAACACACCTGATTATTTGCATGGCGAATACGTTGAATCTCAGTATCCTTCTCCTCTATTATAGATCGAGCAAGCCTCAGCTCAGATTGCAATTGATTCATCTGAAACACACAAGTATTTAGAAGAAGAGAGAAAGGGATAAAACAAGAAGAGCTAAATTTCCAGTTTGAAAGCAAGACTCTTGTGAGAAAAGAAATTACAATCTTAATACCAACGACTTCCACCAGAAAACAATAAGGGAATGAGAGAGGAGAATCTCACTCAAAAAGAAGCCACAAAACAGACATACAATTGCACGTATACTAGTCAGAACCATAGGTCAGCTGGAAATGAAAAAAGGACAAAAAGACCACAAGCTACGTAATACCTCAGCTTTAAGTGTGCGTAACTCTTGATCTCGAGTTGCCAATAAGTGAGCAAGATCAACCTGGCAGGACCAAGAAGACTCGTTAACATCATCATTTTGAAATCTTAGTAACAAATCCAAGTGATTAATGACTACTCAACATGGCTGATTCCATTATCAGCAGTCCATAATATCCAAAATATTAATTTTGCTTTCGGAAAGAAAAATCCTTGAGAGAATCATAAAAGATGAAAGTGCTGGTGTATGCAATATTGTTCTCACCATCTACTTTTGGAATTTTTTTTCCTTTTCAGTTGCTAACAAATACTACTTGCTCAGTTAGTCAAAAGTCATTTGCATGAGCGATCAAAATAATAGAATCAGGGCCAACCTTTTGGATGCCCCGACTAATAGGACAAAAAAGCTGGGTGATAATCTTAAAAGGACAGTACTTCAACTGAGATCTTATAAGTTCATGTTTTCAAGTTCTTTTTTCCCCTCAATTTATTCTTATAGCTTAAATATAATTAACTCGACATGCAGCCAACAAGTAATGTTATTTCTTTCTAGATAGTACAGAAACAGCAACACAATTTTGACAAGGACAAACATACCTGAGGTGCATTCCCATCATTAGATCTTTCGTATTTGCTTAAGGTTTCTTGCAGTCTAAGAATCTAGAAGAAAAAGGATTAAATTAACTCAGAGAAAAGAAAGAAAAAGTTCCAGAAGGAACAATCGGGATTAAAATCCTTTTGTTCATAAGGGATATATACGTCCTGAAGAGATAATACCTATAAATGTCTACAGCACTTTCCTTTCCAAGAAAAAACAGGAGATTCTTAACCTATAGTAAGAAATATCCTCTATGGACTATTAACTGCTTGATGCACCAACTAGAAAAATTGGACCAGCCCAAACTCCAGTTTCTACTCCCTCCCCAACCACCAAAAAGCTTGGGAAGCGCGTTGCCAGCAACATAGGATTTTAATAACCACATACCTCCTCACTCAAAAAGTGTATATTTTCTTGCTGATATTGCAACAATGCCATCTGCTGATCTGATAGTCGACCACCATCCTGGTACCTGTAGAACAAAAGGCTCTTAGCAAAATTATCATTTGTATCATCAAGAACAAGCAGTGAAGCAACTGTCAAGCTCTTTCTTCCATCTCTTCGTAGAAGTCCCCAGTCCAAGGGCCATAAAGATAGTGTCACATTGACATAATAAAAGTACAAATACATAATGATCGGTCTGAAAACATACATAAAAAGATATTTGAGATTTATTATTTTAGCCTCAGTTATTCCTCCAAAGGCCTCCCACTTCTCCAACTACCAAATGCTTGACCATATCAGAAATCAAAATAGGTATCATGTAGCAAAAGCACTTATCAGTACTAACTATATCTCAACATTCATGAACTCAAACAAAGATGAAAATTTTGTCAATCCCAATACCCAACTCATTTTTGGTCATCCCAATTTATTTTACCTTTTTTTTTTTGTAACGCAAAGTTTCCCATCATCCATATTTCACTTGACATAAAATAAGCACCTCATTATATTCTTTTAGATTTGATATTACATTGTTTCAACAAAACTTCCCATTTTCCCAGATTCCAGCCAGTAGTTTAGACACCTCTCTAATGCAATCAACAAGACCTAATAAAGCTTTTTAGAGTTATCTATATAAGAAGTGAAAGAGTAATTTGACTTGCCAAACACATTGCACCATTTGTTTCCTAGTCAAGTAGAGTAGAGCGTAATTTTTATCTAATCACAGACTCAAAGAGAAGCGTGCTGAAGTTAGTTTTAGCTTTTTATAAAAGTGGCTACAAATGCTTGAAGAAACAGAAACACATGCATGGCACCTTGTTTTAAATAGAATTGTGAAAGAGCCCTCCATAATCTGATGCAAATTTAGGGTAAAGTAACAGTGACCAAATTAATGGACAAAATGTTTCTCCATAATCAAAAAATAAACCTGTGAGGTACCTCAAACCTTCCAGAGAACTTGATGGTTGAAGTGGAGAATAAAGTGACTTTAAAACATCAGGCTGGGAATCTAAGGAATTGTACTGGTGAACACAACCTGCAGACAGTAGAAGGTTTAATTGACTTTATTTCTCATCTAATACATCCTGACAATATAGAACAGGTCGGAATTTCTAATAGGTGATTTCAAAGCCAGAAAACAATTTTCAGTTCTCAAATATGAAGAGGATTTAACTTGTAGCTGTCATCTCCCTTTCATGCAATTCTGCAGGAGTCTTTTCTAGACAGTCAAGGAATTTGAAAACGATAGAATTTTACCGAAAAATCGACTCTTGTTAAAGGCATCCATTAAAGGAATTTACTCACCAATATAGACTGTCATGAAAGAACCAGCACATACTACTTCAGTCAGCATGATGATCCTGAAAAATGAAGCAATAAAACTATAGAAAACAGTACAAAGAATAAACATATAAACTTCAGCACCACTGCTATAGCTCATGCAACCTCCAACCCTGCATGAATGCAACCAAATATATATCCTTGAGGTGCTAAACAAAAATTAAAAGCCTAGAAGCGGCCCTCGGATCGGACTTGAGCAAGTGAAACCTTCAAGTTCTTTGTTCCGACTTCCACCACCCATGAATAATGATTTTAGATGAATTGTTCTTAGGGAACTAGAAGTTGATAGGCCATATCCATGAAGTACATTCAATGCCCAAATACAAATGCATATAAAATCCCACCCCCAAAAAAATGACAATTTTGGTCCTATTTTTTTTTTTCACTATCGATATATCAAAACCACCTTCACTGTTTTTTGTCCTTGAACTGGATTTGTCTAAACCAAAGCGACAATGGCAGCAACTTAGGTGTTACCCTCTGCCTCATTACACTCGTCATCTGTGCGAGTCCGGAAAAAATATCGAAATCGAATATCTTTCAATTCCAAATTCATATTCATTTTCTTTCAGTCATTTTAAGTGGATTTCTCTAAACTAGAGCGAAAACGGAAGCAGCTTAGATTTTACCGTCTGCCTCATTATACTCTATATCTGTGAGAGTTTTCTGGAAAATATTGTAACTGAAAATGTCTTCAGGTTGTTAGTTAAAATGTTTCTTCTTATTTCAAAACAAAGCAAATTAAATAAGAAATAGGGAAAATCAGTTCCTTTACCTTTTTCATTTTGGAACATAGCAGACAATACTTAAAGCTCCAACAACGTTCCATATAAGACCTTGACTCACTTTCCTCGTCTATAACTTGTCTATGGATGGTAATAAAGTTATTATTCCCCATCACAGTTCCGTATTTCAAAATGCTCTAGTTATCCAAAACGTGAAATCCTATAGATTTCTATAAAATCTATCCGCAAAACCAACTATCTGACTTAATATGCTACCTTGCTTAAAAGTGTTACCATAACTAAGTTTTTTTTTGGGAGATAACAAAGACTAGCACTAAGTTGGTGACTTAGATTTAGCTTTTATGTTTTCATACAACGTAACTCTATCATAGCACTCCTTCGTAAAGGAATAATTCATAACAGCAGTATACATCAGAGAAATTATCACAAATTAAGAAGGAAAAAGTCGCCAGGGGCCATTTCAACACTGAAAGTTGTTGAATGAACATCTCTTTATGCAAGGAACCGCATATAACTGAAAAAATAGATGCAGCCAGTTTCTTGGAATGTAAACCTGAGTAGTGTTGATATAGAGAGGATGCTAATACGTGGATCCCAAACCATGACAAGCAGCATCGCTGAGGTTCCTGTAATTGAAGTGTTTCAAATGGATATCCATTTAAAAACCAACAGAAGAAAAATGATCTGAAACCTTTTGAACAATCACGAAAGCAACTTAGGAATTAAACTAGTAGTTCTGTAAGTGTCAGATAACAGAAGAATCTGTCACGAAATTAGAGCAGTAAAGCTTTTCTTTAAAAAGAAAAAGAAATTTAATAGCTTTTCATGGACACATCTTGTGATCATGAAAATTATCTTTTAAGCTCAGAGTTTGTATTACTTCTCACTCATATTTACTCAGCCTCTTTTTCCCCTTTTCTGGGAGTGTAGTGGAGGGTTGAGAAGAATCCAAATTTTGCATAAGTGAAATCAAGAATCGGATCCCCATATGCAAATTAAACAATAATCAAGAATCGGATCCCCATATGCAAATTAAACAATATCATACATAGAAAATAATTGTAATTCTGCAAGAAAATAACAGAGATGCAATTCACCTATAGCAGATTAGTCAGCATGTGAAATTTACAGTTGGATACTATAGCAAGATTTGTTTTGACCACAGATTTTTGCTGGCGATGATTATCACCACTCAAGCAAAAGAGTATAAAGAAGAGCTGACGCATAAACTAGAGGACCAGGTAATGCGTACCATACGCGATTGTAGCAAATGGTAGGCGAATAATATGCTTCAGTTTCTGGCTGAAAATATAGTACCCCTGCAAAATTTAAAGTTCGGATTACTACAAACTTCAGAAATCATCACTTGTCTTATAATTTTGATAATAAGAACACTGCAATGAAGATGAAAAATATCAATCTTGATAACTGAATATTGCAGTAAAATGTAATTCCCATCCAAGTAGTGCCACCACAAGTCTCCCATTCACCAAAAGAAAGACAACTGAAACCCTGAGAATTTGTATCTGAATTGTAGTGCAGAGAAGTTGCCAACTTGGTTAACGGACCTTACCTTTCTTGTACCCCCAGGATAGATACGAGAGAAAAAAATAAACAAAAGCCTGGAAATCCTCGAAGCAACTAATGGGTTAAGAAGCACATTTCATGATTTCCTTGATCCATTCTCAAGATCTAGGTACTTCTACAATGCACTACCTCATTCGCGAAACCTTTAGTCCCATACAGTTTGTATATCAGGTTATTCTACTATACTGATCTGTTTCTCCAACTTACTGGTACCCACCACTTTGCAAACTCCGTGGAGTGCCAACTAGCTTAGACCGGACTATGAAAGCCACTTGAATAATATGAATGTTTTGGCGCTGATGTTTAGCTTAAAGTATATATATTTCTATGTATATCGCCTCATATTTTACTTTTGTTTCGTGAATTTAGGATGTTAAATGTGTTGATTTATGTTAATTTGATGTGTTTTTATGTGTAGGAATGATTCGGGAGAAATTGGGGCGAAACGCGCAAGATTTGAGCCAAAACGGACGAAACCGGAAAACTTGCGAATTTGGGCGCCACAGGTGGCGCCCAGCCCTACCTGTGGCGCCAAAAACAGTATGCACAAGTATGGGGGCGCTATGGAGGGCGCCTGGCGCCGGGCTGGGCGCCGGTGACGCGAATTTTGTCCTATTTTGTCCGGGACACGGTTTATTCGGCCCTAGACCTATCCAACACGTATAAAAGCGAGACTAAACATATTTTTGAGGGGAGGACGCCACTTTTGAGGATAACTAACATACTTTGGAGGAGAATTCACGTGGGGGAACACACACCCCGCTTGGAGGAGGCTTCTAACTAGTTTTTCTTCTCTTCTCTTCTTTTAGTTTCATAGTTTATTTGTTCTAGAGTTGTTGGGTGCTACATGAACGTTGTAGTTTGAAGCTTGAATTGTTCTTATTATTTTATCATATTGGTTTATTTATTCAATCTTGCGCTTAATTATTTGATTGCTTGATCACCAATTGAATACTATCTACGAATCTAGGATTGAACTCGGGAGAGGGAATTCTAGATTGCATATAAGATTGAGTAGAGCAAGATCTTAACTCTAAGGGGGAGCGGATTTGCGGTTAGGATAGGAATATACCTAATCGCCTTGCTTGGTTATTATACGGGAATTATAAATGCGTTCTTGTTAATCCTAATTTCATAGGAATATAGGAGTTAAGTTAGCTTGAATAGGCGAGTTGTACTTCGGGAGAAGGCTACGACCAATATTAACCCTGTCAACCAATAAATCAGATAAATTAATTAGACGATTTAAGTGGAAAACTCAACGGGATTAGCTAACCCATAGCTCTAGAATATTCACTCACATTGAATTCGGCTTTAAGCTTGTCGTTGTTTTCTTTAATCTCTTAATTTGTTACTCTAGATTATCTTTAGTTAAATATTCATACTTTAGGAATCGCTTAAATAGATTAATTGTTTGGTTTAATTTAGTTGATAGTTAATCACAAGTCCCTGTGGGTACGATATCTGGACTTACAATCCTATATTACTTGTCGACCACATATACTTGCGTGTGCGTTTGGGAGCAACAGGCACCATAACAGTATTTAATATGCAGATGCAGAAGACCTCACAACTAGATGATTTCTGCCAAGATTATATATAAAGAGATAATTTTTATTCCATGTTTTCTTTTGTGCACATGTCACAAGAGAGGGAGAGGAGAAGGGCAAGGTGTGGATGAAAGTTAAGTCCAATCCAATGAGGTAATATAATCATTTATAGCTGAGGAAGTTTGATATAATTCATTGCCCTTCCAGCGTTGTTTTTTAACTTTTTTAATAACTTTCATCTCAGGCTATATTGAAAGAATAATATTAATCACCAGTCCAACAACAAAACCTCGATCCCGAGCTAGTTGGGATCAGCACATATTTTTAGCAGAAATATAATAGAAATACTGACCTGTAGCCGTATTTTCTTAACTTGATAGACCAGATATTGCTGAAAAATGCCTACAGATATCAAACACTTCTGTTTTAGGCATAGAACTATAGAGGGAAGTCAGCTGCTGGAACAATATAATGAAGCGCAGCAGATTTAAAACTTATGATTTGCTGAAAGCAAAGGAAAGAAGTCAGAGAATTTGACTTCATATCGAACCTGTGACAACAAGGAGGGCAACATTACAACTGCAAAGAAGTGGGAACACTAATCCTTCTATAGGGTGAAATATCCATGTAGCTCCCACCGCCAAAATAGCAAAGCCTGACTAGAAATCATCATAATTAGTTCACCTAGAATGTGGCTAAATTTGCATCTTTGTCAAGCCACAAAGAATTCATGAACTAATACTTGCCAATAAGAAAAAGTAGAAAATACTCCCAATAAGGCTCGTAGGCTTCCTATGACCGGATAGAGGTGCTTCATGCAGTACGTCCACAAACCTACAGTTGAACAAGCAGCATAATCAGTTATTAGCAAGAGAAGCTGAAGTATTAGGTCAAAACAGGAATAATCTATAGTTTGCTTAGACACTACATGTATATCATCCTGAGTTCTCCCTCCATTCTTTAAATCTTTCCAGCCTTTAGAGATACTCTCACAGATTACAGCCTTCTAACTTACAGTTAAGGTGCTGACTCTAAAGATCGCGAGAGTATAGTCAGTTAGAGAACTATAAGAAACTCAATCAAATTTTGGTAGGAGCTCATAGAAGAAATTCAATCAACTATACCTTAAACCCAAACTAATTGGGATTGATTATGTGAATCCCCTGTATCCATTATGTTTTATTCAGACTGTTTTCATCCCAAGACTGTTGCACATGCCTAATTCGCTACGCCCCGACAAATTTAGTATTGGTGGATTCAACATAGTTACACTTCTGTAACATAACAGTCATTTTATTGTAACCCTCCTCCTTTTCTCAGAACTTGTTCTTTGTGAAGCTCACATAGGGACTGAAGCTCACAAACAAAAGAAAAACACAAAAAAGTTTGATCTTATAACAGTGATTTTCCATCTAACTTGCGCACCTCGACTATTCCACCGGATACCTACTACTTCCCACCAGCACGGTACCAGATAACTCGCCCCACCAAGGCTTGGGTGGATGGGAAGAAATCACTTAATATTATTGTAACTTTGTCCAAGAATTACAATAGCAATCTCGCAAACTAACATTCTTTATAACGGCGATGTTCAATAAACACGCACACACCTTTGATTAATCAACTAGGTAGACACTATCCCCTATCAACACAAGTATTGAGTAACTCTGGTCATCAAGGCTTAAGTAGATTTGAGAAATTCACCTAGTGTCACATTTGCTAGGATTCCAACCTTGTTTCCCAAGGTTGTCACTCTAGCTCTTCAACTACTAGGAAATCCCTTGGGACCCTTGTAGACTATCATTTTCTGGTTCCATTCGGTATCCGGCATCCACTGGCTCAACTAACCAGACCCCCCCCCCCCCCAAACCACCCCACAACCCAAATAGGACTATCAAAATAGGAAGCACTTATTTCTCGATTCCAAGGCTCGAAGCTTTGACCTCTTGTTAAGGGTGGAGTATTTATCCCCTACATTCCTCGGTGACTAAAGTCCTTGCAAAATCCTAAGAACACCCTTTGACTTCCCAAATTTAACGTCTGCTCAACCGAAGCACAATTCCCCGTGATTCCAACTGAACTTAAATAAGTTCAAATCCCTAGATATGTAACAACGAATATGACAAAAAGAATGTACAAGTATTTGCTGAATTGATCAGCTTCTTAGCTAGGAAAATGTGAGCTTAAAAATTATTTCACTTAGCAGGTAATTAAAAAGAACCATTCCTGTATTTCAAAATGAAAACTAGAAAACTGACGATTTCAATCAGCATAAATACATACAACAACAGTATTCGAATAATTACGAATTTTGGAAATATATGAATGGTGCGAATAGATTGGAGGATTTAGCTCTTACAGATTATTTTCGTCTGGGGATGCAGAGATTAAAGAAGACTGTATTTCCGTTGACATCTTCTTCTAAATCTTCTTTCCTTTCCAATATTTCCAGTTTAAAACCGTTTTATTTCAGATTCTTCATTCCTTTAAAATTAAAATTGAGAAAATGACAGAAAAGGTCCATTAGTTTAAAATAGTTCCTTAAATATAATTATGAGATTTTTAAAATTTGTAAAAACTGAGTACTTTTAGTCTCTATTAAAATTTAACGAACATATTTAACATGCCACACTAGGTTGGATAGGATTAGGAACGAGGATATTTGAGAGAAAGTAGGTGCGGCTCATATGGAGGATAAGATGTATGAAGCGAGACTTAGATGGTTCGGGCATGTGAAAAGCCAAAGCTCCCTATGCCTCGGTGAGGAGGTGTGAACGGTAGGAGAAGAGGTAGAAGACGGTCTAAGAAATATTAGGGAGAGGTGCGTGACTTCGGCTTATGGAGCACATGGCCCTTGACAGGATGGAGGTCGAATATTAGGGTTGAAGGGGAATAAGTCGTAGTGTGTTTTTCTGATTTGTTCCATATTTATTAGGGTTAGCTGACTAGTACATTATCTTCGATTCTTAGAGTGCTAGTATTAGGGTTGTTTTTTAGTACTATCTTCCGCTTCGTTTTTATAGTACTTTGTCGTGTTACTACTTCTTGCTATTGCTTTCTTCCATTTGCTTATTTTTCGGTTCATACATTATTGGTATCATTTTCCTAGCCTTGTTGTTGTTATTTACTTGTTCCTAGTTTTGCTCTCGAGCCGAGGGTCTTTCAGAAACAATATCTCTACCTCCTTAAAGGTAGGGGTAAGGTAGGCGTACACATCACCCTCCTCATACCGTAGTTGTTGTTATAAGTTTGTAAGAAACTATATTTAATATGAACTGTTAGAAAAAAATAACCATAAATACTAGAAAATCTATTCAAATCCCAAAAATTGCATTATACACCAAAAAACACCAAAAATATCACCAAAATAGCAAAGATAGCATAATACACCAAAACAAACATAAATTATAAAAACTGCACCGCCAAATATGAGCTCCTAATAAAAAAATCTCGCAGTTCCAGTTAAAATTTCCAATCAGAATTTATTAAATATTTTATGAAGTCCAAAGGTGCTCATTTTTTGACAAACTCAAAAGATTAAAATTACTCATGGTTATATTCAAATTGACTATTTTAAACACACCCTAAAACATAAGGGCTCATTTTGTCAATTTCCTCATAAATGTTATTTTGTGAGCTTAATTTTTGTAATGTAAATTTTTTTTTACATAATTAAGATAACTATAAAATACTTTTAAGTAAATATTTATAATAAATATTAAAAACTTTATTCCTTTTAAGCTGATATGCTTTGTCACAAAGAAATAGGGAAATTACCAGCTATGTCCATTTATAAGTAGCTCATTATAAAAATTGGCCAATTGATAAAATATTATTAATATTAGTCAAATTAGCCAATTAGCTATTTGTAGCAAAAAATATCAAATTTTTGCTTTGTTTTGAGTAGGTGTTATTAGAATAGATTGGGCACAACTTAAGGAGCTTGAATCTCAGTTTTGGGATGATTTGGTGAAGTTTTGAGGTGGTTTGAATTGAAAATTCGAAGTAAAAGCTGAAATTGAAAAAAAATGATATGTGTTATCACACTATGTACATTTGTGTATCACATATGTATCAATTGTGTATCACATGTATATCCATGTATACCTGTGTGTGTGATACATGCGTGATACATGTTTGATACATCTGGTGCAGAAGACTTTTTTGAACTCGATTTAATTACGAATTTTGATACAAACCAGTCCAAATCACCTCCAATCTTCCTCAAATTTTGTATATTGACTTATCTATATATTTTCAATGAATTTCAACTATAGCCATTGAAAAAGTTCCTTTTTTGTTTAGATTTTTGGAATATTGTATAGATTTTTGTATTTCATTACCTTATTTGCTACCCCGTCCATGAAATTTCCTTTCTGTCTTGTATCTAATGTTGCTAATCACGCTTAAAAATATGGAAGGTGGTTTTTGCATGTGATTCTTTGAGAGAAAGAACCCTATTATTTGTTTTTTCAATTTTTGTTGGCTAGTTTTGGTAAGTCTATGACTAATGGCTAGAGGTTGGTAAGTTGAAATTTATTTGGGACATTTGTATAAGTTTCCTAAAGAAATATTATGACAAAGTTACATGGGCCCTCTACGTCAGAGTGAACCGCCGCAAGAATCCAGTAACCCAGAGTTCAAGTTCGATCCATTAGGTTCTTCAATTACTTTTTTAAACAATATAAGAAAATACCATCGAATATTTTTGGCACAGTCTTTTCTGTATTTTCTATTGACATATAAATTATATAATAATTATACATGATTACATACATACATCCATATATATATATATATATATATATATTATGTGAGCGGCTATTTATGCTAATTTATCTGAAAATATTAATCCAAATGTGTACTTACTAGATCAGAGGTAGCATTTTTCTAATTCTATTTTTTTTTTCTTGAGAAAAAATAGGGTCTTTGTAGGAGAATTCACATATTTTTTTGGACAATTGATCCAAAAGACTAGGCTTACACCCGATTCACACGGGCTTCAGTTCAGTCCAATTCATGTTAAGCCAGGCCCACTAACTTCACTTACTTAAACATCTAACTTACAAAATTTTCAGCTAAAACACATTTTGAAAATTCAAAACTCTTTGAAGCTTCAAAATTCAATGGCATCACCGGACACCGACGTGCCTATGGTTCCCGCCGGCGAGGGTTCAACCGGCGTTGGATCGTCTACTAAAAAGCCCAAGCGATTCGAAATCAAAAAGTGGAATGCTGTTGCTCTCTGGGCTTGGGGTCAATTTCTAACCCTAACTAATTTCCTTTGTCTCTCCTTTACAACTTTTTGGTGTGTAAATTTGACGATTTTATGCTGATTTCTAAGTACCATAACCCGGTGACCTATTCAAATTTTGAACTGATAGTAGTTGTTAAGTACCATTGCACTTGCTAGTATTTCGTGACGATTGTGAACTTAGTGTACATATATGTACATGTACATAAATTGAGTTATTTAAGAATTCAAGAACATGTCAATATATAATGCGTGTGTGTATTTTTCAAGGTGAATCCTTGGTGGGCAGAGTTATCTGGTACCTGTGGGTTTAACCGAAAAAATAGTTTTTGAAGTCAAAGCAATTAAATAAATAATTTGGGTTTCTAAAAACCAATTTGATTCACTTTTCCAAGTATAATCAATACAAAAAAGGAACAAATAATGATAAGGAAATAAATTAAGAGAATAAAGGAAATGGATATCTTATTGATGATTGCAGTCTTTCTTTTGTATGAAAGTAATAATCTTCCAATAATAAATACATGGTATAGAATTCTGTAATTGACAATATAACTTAGTAGTTTTTCGATGAGGATACAAGAAATGGAAAAGGGGTTTAAATAATACTATCATTCATAACTGTTTGCCTTATTTAGCTCTTGCCCGTTACTTCATTTATTGCATTAATTGTTCGTTACGTGATTGATTTGTAACGATTGAGGTAATAATAGGAAATCTAGTGTAATCAGGGATTGACTGATACTTTCCATATTCGTAGCTATTAATGATCTTAATTATCATTGTCGTGACTACATTCTTATGTTTAACCTCGAGGCTAATAGGCACGGTATATGTACGTATATCGCGCCTAATAACCCCAAGGATGTTGCACACATCTTCTCTATACGTCATTCTTTTTTGTCGTAATAACTCCAATGACAACTATCTTCACAAAATAAGTCCATGTCACGAGTCTATTTTCCACTAATACAGATAGTCCCCCCACTTTTTGGATAAACGCAACTGAATATTTTGGAAGTGGAGAGTTTATTTATGGCGGGAATATTTTGCCGCCTCTCTCTCTCTCTCGAGATCATTATGACGTGCTGCAGAAGTGAAAAGATACGACCTCCTTCCATTTAATGCTCGAGACATGTGTCTTGCTGCGATTGGTTATGAAGTTTGCAGCGGTTTCCCATTTATGCCCGGAAAACTGTTGCAAATTTCAGAACCAATCGCAACAAGACACGTGTCTCGAGCATTAAGTGGAAGGAGCGCATGTCTCTTCACTTCAGCATCACGTCATAATTATCTCGGGAAGAGGCGGCAAAATATTCCCGCCATAAATAAACTCTCTACTTCCCGAATATTCAATTGAGAATATCCAGAAAGTGGGAGGACTATCTGTATTAGTAAAAATAGACTCGCCATGTGGACTTATTTTGTGATGACAGGTGTCATTGTAGTTATTACAACAAAGAAGAATGATGTGTGCAACACCCTCGGGGTTGTACGCGCATATACTGTGCCTATTAGCCTCGAGGTTAAACATAAGAGTATAGCCACGAGATTGATAATTGAGGTCATTAATAGCTACGAATATGGAAAGGGTCAGTCAATCCGTGATTACACATATTTGTTATTATTACCTCAACCGTTACAAATCAATCACGGACAATTAATGCAATATATGGCAGGAGCTAAACAAAGCAAACAGTTACGAATGGTAATACTATTTAAACCCCCTTCTATATCTTGTATCCCATCGAAAAACTACTAAGTTATACTGTCAATTACATTTCTCTATTATTGGAAGATTTATTACTTTCATACAGAAGAAAGACTGCAATCATCAATAAGATTTCTATTTTCTTTTTCCGTATTGATTATACTTGGAAAAATGAATTAAATCGGTTATTAAAAATTTGAATTATTTAATTGTTTTAACTTCAAAAATTATTTTTTGGGTTAAACATTGTGCTAGTGGAAGATTTAACAATTTATTCCTGATTTTAAGTACCATAACTCGGTGATATATCATATTATAAACTAGTGATTGCGAAGCACTATTGCACTTGCTTTTCCATGTGAATGGTTTAAATATAGTCAGACCTCTCTATAACAGCATCCCTATATAACAAACATTCACTATAAAAGCCAAGTTATCGTCGGAACTGATTTTTTAAGTTCTATTTTACCTCTCTATAACAACTTTACACCTATATCAACAACATCCATACTTATAGCAAAACGTTCTTTGTAAAACTACCCCTCTATAATAGCCATATAGAATCTCTAAGATTGCTAATAATAGTTCTAAAAATATGCACATAATCTTTTTCATTGAACAAAGTTTCTATCTTGCATAATACATAAGATATAAAGATCTACACATGATATATTTTTCATTGGACAAATGCCAAAAAATATTTATATAGAAGATTCCATTGTTATGTACTTAGATTGCCTTCAAGGGAAGCTATCAGTTATCCTTTTGCTAAAAGTTTGGACATAAATTTTTGTCAATTCAAGTGTTATATCGCTAGTAAGAGAATGGAATCTACAAAATAAGCTACAATTACAAAGTTTTTTCATCAATCTTTAAAGAATTGATTTTGTAGTAGCTTTAAAATGTGTAACCTTAGAACTAACTCTTTGTACATTTAGTTATAAATTTATTAATAATGTATTAATTTTCTTAATATTTAATAAGTAAAATATGCATATCTTTTGAGATTTTAAATTTGAATAATTTTCTTATCGTTTATATGCAATATTAAAAAAATGGATAGTTTTTGTCTATAACAACAAAAATATATTTTGCATCAAATGTTATAGGTGTATAACAACCATTTACTATAAAAGCCAAATAAATATTGAAACATACGAGGTTGTTATAGAGAGGTTTGACTCTATATATTTTAGGAATTTACTCTATATATATACTTTTTTTTCGAGTTCTATGCTTTTCTAGGAGTTGTTTAGCCTTTCAAAAATTTATAATCAGTAGAAAATATAATGAACTTCTAGTAATTATTATTATTATTACTATTATTATTATTATTATTATTATTATTATTATTATTATTATAATATTGTTGTTGTTGTTGTTGTTATTTTGGATTATAATGGACTGCAATGAGTTTATATGGAGTAACATGGTCACTGAGGATTCATACTACCGGCCTAAGTTTGTTTGAGACTGAGGCGTAGTTGTTGTATATAATTTTTTTTCGAGGTGAACGGTACAGATCGATTCTTGCTGAAAAATTGAATGTCCATGGATGCTTGTGTTATTGATGTTTTTGCAACATCAGCTCTGTGTATGTTGACTTACATGAGATTAGAGATGGATGTTTCTTGGAAAATCTAAAGTCAGTTAAGTACTTATGGTAATGTTGTTGTGTACACGCACGCTTGTACTTGTTATGCGTGAATTGAAGACTAGAAAGCAACATTAAGTGGAAGGTGCTTACAGCAATTTAAGTTGTTTGTAACAATTTAAGGAGATTGTTTGATTATAGATGTTTTATTTAGAGACTTTTTGTCCTCTATGTTTGTTTTGAATGTATTGTTGTCCTTATAGCACTTTATTGTTACCTTATATATTATGAAAGATCCTTGTATATTGTTACATCTTATGTTTCTGGGGTTCTATTGAAAAGATATTATAAATGTAATAGCAGTTCTGTACTTTCATTTGTGTATTTTTTTGTGTTTGTGTGTGTATTTGATTTATTCACTTGCACATTTTCATGAATTACATTGAGCTGATCTATCTAATTTATTTTAATTTTTTACATTCTTACGTTCAATAATCAATCCTTGTGACTTTGGTTGCAGATATTGTGGTAGATAATTGTGCAATCTGTAGGAATCACATCATGGATCTGTGTGAGTTTTGGCTCTCTTTTCTACGTTGTTGAAGCCGGTGTTTCTTTTTCTCTGATATGATACCATTCATTAAATATTTGATCCTCTTAATATTCGATCTTAGTTTATGCTAATTTTGATTAGGTATCGAGTGTCAAGCTAATCAAGCTAGCGCGACAAGTGAGGAATGCACAGTTGCTTGGGGTATGTTGCTCTTGTTATGTGTGAGAATATTGATTAAACAGCTTAGTTTGTCAATTTGCCATGACTTTCATGCTTTTTATGAAATTAGTTTGCATAGGAATCAACTTATGCAGTATTTTATGTGTACTACTATTGACACCTTAGATTTTGTCAAGACATAAAACTACTTGATTCTATTCACTCGTGACGATAATAAGAAGGATGTGTTTGTGCCAGAGGTCATGTAGTTGTTGTTCAGTGGTTGCTTCAGTGTTATTAAGAGGTAGATTCACCTTATTTTAGAGTTTAGGCAATTGTGGTGCCTTAATTATTGGAGGGTATTGGAGTAGATGATTAATGCTCTTTTGCAATATCAATAATTGTGTTAGATGAAGGAGGTTGATCTCTCTCAAGACTCAAAGCCAGTGTCCATAAATCAAATTAGGTGTATAAATTTGATAGGACACAAATCTTAGGGTTAGAGTTTGTAGTTAAATGTAGGTGAATTAGAAAAATTGGGGTAAAGTTAAATGTTTAGTGAATTCTGGCTTTCCTAATATAAAATGGAATTCCTGGGCGTAGTTTGAAGAAGTTTTGTCTATTTATGGGGAGAAAGCTCATACTTTTGAAGATAGAAACACTTCGGATAGCTAAACAAGAGATTACCACACAAGAAGAACTTAGTGTCATGTCGAGATCAGTTGTATACCTAGATTTTGTTGAATTTTTTCCAGAATTGTAAGAGTTGAATTGGGATTTTGGTAACCATGCTTTGTGTTAACAGAAGATTATTTGTTTTATTTTTTATTTTCTGGCATCCACATTTTTTATTTGATTATAATGGTTCTAATAGAAGGTTATTTGTGTTATTTTAATTTTCTGTCATCCAGAGAAGTCACAATGATTGTCAAATTTTACTTCTCCTTCATCTTCTCTATTTCATCTTCTCCTCTTGCTTCCTCTTTTGTTTTTGGGTTGCAACTCAAAAATCATTTGATACTCCGGTGGTATGAGCTCAAAAGATGATGTGATTAATATCTTGTATCTCCTCTCACTGTATCTCGCCCATACACTCCATCAACAAACAGAATACCACAGTCTTGCTCCCACCCTTTGTAATTCCCCCGTTTAACCATGAGGCTACGTGAATAGGAAAGACCAATATCTCTTTACCACTGAAATATGAAGGAAGAAGAAAGCCGTTTAATTACTTGGTGGAGAAAAAGATGAAAACTGTTTTATTTGTTTGATCAATTTTTGTTTCCTAGAATGTATTTTCTTTTGTTTTTTAGATAAACAATGGACACATGTATCTGTTTTGATAAGTCATGTTTTTGAGAATACCTCTCCGTTTTCGAGAAATAACTTTCCTTGTGATTTGGTCATGATTGAAGTTGTGATAGCTTGGGATATGCATGGCATTTGTTGATGGTATTAAAACATTTCATCATTCAGCTGGTCATCCACTTGTATGTTTCCGAGCTAACAACTATGTTAATTTTCCCTTTAAGTTACGCTGACTTACCAGATATAATTCTGGATTTTTCTCCCTTTGATTAATGTGATATACTAAAGTCTGGTAGCTGAATGTCTACGATAATTGCATTATAGTGCTTTACTATTGTTTGTATAGTAGAGGTGCAGACTGATAAGGCACAACCACATGAAAAGGATCTTCATATCATACCTTTCCCTCAAGGCTTTGTTGTAGCGAGTGTTAAGTTGCTATTGGCAGAGAATATTAAATTGGAATTGCTCCAGCTCTATGCTTTGCATGTCTTTTGTATCATTAGATACTTGACACTTGCCGTCACTTGAATGTGTTATTTCCATTCTAAGCTGGTATTTATCTGTGTTTATACAAAATTACGGCATCTTTTGCAAACAATTCTGGAAGATAATAAATCTCATCCTCTAGATATGACCACTAAGTTCCTTGAGTCACTCTTGACAAGGTAAGAAATGTGTCAAATATTGCTATATCCGGTGCTTCCTTTTTCGCCCCCTCTCTGAATGGTCTACATTTTCTATGAAGTGTATGAAATTGATGAAGTTATGCTACACTCACAATCCTGTTTATGCCATTTTGGATGTGGATATTAATCTGTTATTGGGAGCTCATTGTTTGCCATATCTGCTGGTCGCTGTAGGTGTTTGCAACCATGCATTCCACTTCCATTGCATTAGTCGGTGGCTCAAGACTCGTCAAGTGTGTCCACTTGGTAAGTTGCATATTGCTGTCTTTGCATGAGTGTCACTATAGTATGTTACATCCCAAGTATTTATATGATTGTTCTATCTTTCAGATAACAGCGAGTGGGAGTTTCAGAAGTATGGTCACTAGAATTTACTGTTGTTGTACAGTGAATGGGAGTTTGAGAAGTGTTGTCTGTTGGATTGAAGTCCCTGTCCTCTCTCTGCTATCATCGACATTGAAAAGAACGATTATAACTACTTATATTCCTTCGATTATTGTTCTTCAAATATGAAAATCAAGGACTCAAAACTTTGTTTTTGGTCTCATCTGTCATAGGTTGCCTAGAAAGAAATGAAATGTAATTGGAGATTCCATATCTTATGCTAATTCTTGTAGAGAGAATCATATTCTTGTTGAGGAATGTGACAATGAGTAGTATTGGTCATTCTCCTTTAGTATTAGCTGTGATATAATCTTGAAATCGAAAAAACAAAAAGGAAAGTAAATAAAAATAATAAGGGGGAAAACCATTTTAATACATTATGCCATGATAAGAAAGGGGAGCTTTGCAAGTGAAAATATTTAATATCTCAGTTGCTTATCTATAGCTTGGTACTATAATTTCTCTGAAGGGATATAATCATTGTGCGTTAATTGCTTCCTTTGGTTGTGGTTTCATTATACACGTTGCGTACGACTTACAGTTAAATGACATGTTTGAACATCTCGCGGACGACCTTATGCAGTTAATGAACTCATAAGACGTTGCAAATTACTCATTCAAAAATAAATGAAATCTAATAGTATATGTATTAGATTCGAGGTACCTGCTTACTATCATCACCATAGGTATTGAATGACTCTAGCCACCAAAGTTTAGACAGATGGAAAAAAAAATCACCTAGTGTATTTTTATCTTTTTTAAAATTGCGGATCAAATAAAATACTAGTGGATATAATAAAGAGAAATTTTCATAAAACACTATCTTTTAGTGGTAATTAGCTATCTATAGATACCATTTGCTATATTACGGAAACAGCCTCTCTACCCTTCTGGGGTAGGGGTAAGGTCTGCGTACATCCTACCCTCCCCAGACCCCACTAGTGGGATTTTACTGGGTATGTTGTTGTTGTTGTTGTTGTTGTAGATACGTTTTCTGTTGTTATAAGATGTATTAGATGTATTTAAGCTACTGTATTCATGAATACAGTAGCAAAAATAGGCGTGAATCAGGGAAGTCAAGCTAATCAGTTGTTGTATTCGAGTGTATTCGACTGTATTCATGGCGTGAAACATGAGATTACAGCTGGACAGATTATTGTATTCGACTGTATTCACGACGTGAAACAGGGGATTACACTGTTTTTAAACGGAAAGTGAATCAATTAACATAATAGACTCCTAATATAACTCAACAAATTCAATTATATCACACAAATTTTGTATTTCCAGTTATAAAAAAGATTCTCAACCAAAAAATACCCCAAAAGCATAACAATCTTCAAAGAAATTATATAATACATCTGAATATATAAATTATATTAATTAAAAAAATATGAATACATTCATGAAATATAGCAAGACAGTGAATACAATGAAATAAATAAAATACAGCGGGATACACTGAAATACAATGAAAAAAAGACAGTGAATACAATGAAATACATGGAATACAACGAGAAACATTGAATTACAATGAAAAAAAAGACAATGAATACAATGAAATACATGAAAATACAGCGTGATACGTTGAAAATACTTAAAATATATTAACAGAAAAGATTTCTCTTTATCCCCTAGCATAATCAAATTCTGACCCTTGAACACTATTTTCAGATCTGTAGTATTCTTGTGACCCTGATAAAACGGTTTAAGATTTGTACTGGAGAAATTCTAGCCATGAAACAAAGCCCTAGCTTCAATGGAATCATAGTAAATCCCAATTCGTTTGTTGGGATTTCTGATGGCCGGAATATCTAAGTCTAATCCAGACGCGTTCAGCGAAATTTGAATATTTAAAAGTTAAGAGAAGGATTTAATTTTTATTCTTGGTTTTATTTTTGTTTTTGATATTTCGAGCCGTGGGAAAAATTTGGGTAAGGTATTTGGACATGGTTATNTTTGGAGCAGAAGTATCCGATAAATTTACCTCATTCTTCTTCTTCATCTCGATTAATTTGATTGAAAAGATTCAGTCTTTTTTTGCTCGACTCGTCCTTTCTAGAGCTTCGATTTGGAAATGCTTGCTAGGAATACAACGAGATACATTGAATTACAATGAAAAAAAAGACAATGAATACAATGAAATACATGAAAATACAGCGTGATACGTTGAAAATACTTAAAATATATTAACAGAAAAGATTTCTCTTTATCCCCTAGCATAATCAAATTCTGACCCTTGAACACTATTTTCAGATCTGTAGTATTCTTGTGACCCTGATAAAACGGTTTAAGATTTGTACTGGAGAAATTCTAGCCATGAAACAAAGCCCTAGCTTCAATGGAATCATAGTAAATCCCAATTCGTTTGTTGGGATTTCTGATGGAGACATTAGAGCAAGATCGTAGTTACGGGTATTTTTTGTGTGGAGAGATCGAATTGGGTAAGTGAGGCGTCAGCGATGTTAATTGAATACTAGGGCTTCTAATTTGATCGAAAAGATTAGTCTTTTTTGTATTTGCAACGGATTTCTTCATCGCCTTTTGTATCTTTGGAGCAGAAGTATCCGATAAATTTACCTCATTCTTCTTCTTCATCTCGATTAATTTGATTGAAAAGATTCAGTCTTTTTTTGCTCGACTCGTCCTTTCTAGAGCTTCGATCTGGAAATGCTTGCTAGGGTTTCTCGTTGGATTGAGATTGAGCATAGTGTTTCCAGGGAATGGGGGAAGAGAATGACATGTATAAAAGAAGAGAGAGAAAGCGTATTTAGTGGCTTAGGGGTAGGAGGTAACCAAAATTAGATATTTTGCTATAAACATTAAAAGGTATGTATGGAACATAATTTTTTTAAATGGTATTTATTTAGAATAAATAAGGTGTTAACATTTGCTAAGGTAAAAGTTTCTACACTATATTTTACTTAATAGATAAGCACAAGTTGGGGCTCAAATCCACTTCAAAATTAGAGCATGCCAAGAATCTTTGTGGTAAGTATTTATTGATGAATAGAAAAAGAGGAAGAACAAAAGAAGAACAAAAGGTAATCGTCGCCTGAGAGATTCGAACTCTCGCGGGGAGACCCCATGTACTTAGCAGGCACACGCCTTAACCACTCGGCCAAAGCGACGCTTGTTAACACATTTGGTTAAACTGCTATTAGTTGAGAAAAAAGGATTCTAGCAAGATTTTTCAATTATCAAAGAATTTTAAAGCAACTTTTTTCTACTGATGATTAGTGAGACAGATGATTATTTGTAACAAGCTAAAAATATATTCGCATTAGGTGTTTACATCAAATCAATAAATGCATAACATTGCTGAAAGTATAGCTACTATTAAATACAGTATATATGTTTGATGTGTCGCGTAACTTTTTCCTAATTAGTATATGATGTATTTCATATGAATGAAGGTACATATTCATGCTAAGAGAGAATTTCTTGTGGAATTTTGAATAGTGCTCGCAAATTAATTCAGACATCATTATCATAAAAACTAAAAAAAAAAAGTAAACTAAATATTTTTATCTTGCACATGATTGAAACCTCTAATTTATAGTTTATAGTTTAGTACTCCCTCCGGTTCATAATAAGTGTCCAATTTGCTTTTTTATTTTGGTTCAAAATAAGTGTCCAGTTATGTAATCAAGAAAGAATTCAATTTGTTTTTACAAAATAACCCCTATGTACATATCCCTAAAAAGTTTTCTTACTCCTCACAGTAAATGTTTAATTAGGGGTAGTTTAGTCATAGTAGGTATTTTTGTATAGAATTTAGTATTTTCTTAATGGCGTGCTAAAAGCAAATTGGACACTTATTATGAACCGGAGGGAGTACAAGCTAATTTCTCAAGTACAAACCGTACGGTACAGTGACTCTGCTGATGGGGATGTCTGTAGTGTTTCGTGCTAGTAATCCCCCGTCTCAATTTATGTGGTGGAGTTAAATGAATTTTATTTTGATCGCAATTTTTTTATAAGTCTTTTAGATATTTTGAATTGTAAAATATTGTGACTTATAGTGCTTTTATGTAGTTTTTAAATATATAAATTTTATTTCAAAAAACTTAAAGATTTTATGTTCGAATTCACATTCAAAATTAAAAAATTTGACTTTCAAAATCTGAGATCCGCACATAAGTTGGGACAGAGATATTAGTCGTTTAGAGCAGATCCTTTACTTATTCATATTTGTCATTGTTTCCTTTTTTTATTTATTAAGTTGGATAAAACTTGAGCAATTGGAAATAGAAGTATATATTCCTAATATTTTATAAAACTTTTTCCTTTTGGATATTTTACGTAACTTAGAGGAAGCTTTCAAGATATCCTTTAATATACACTTGAAAAAGAGGTAAAATTTAGTCCAAAAAGTTACCCTTTATTTTTCGTTGTTCTTACGTACTTCAGTTTAATATACCAAAATTAACTTGAGCTGTTGGAAGTAGAACTACTCCGTACAATTTTAAATATTTTCCACTTCGACTTTGACGTAACTTGAAGGAAATCTCCAAGGTGTTTGTCTACGGGTAAAATCGGGGACAATGCATATCCCGATTTTCCGGTGAAGAAGACGGAAGAAGGGCATGACGCACGAGGTTGAAATCGAGGCTGGGAACCCTTCGTGTCGAGATCCATGAAAGGTGAATGATATGTTCATCATCGGGCGTGATAGAGCAACGCTTCCCGATCCCAAAATGAGCTCTAAGACCTCGAGACATATGGCAAATGGTTACACACGACAGATAGAGGGCCGTGATATCCGTACCTAACCGGATATCAAGGCGTTGATCTCGCTCGATGTCGGTTACGGATCAGTAATTAACGAGAAAGTAAGAGTTTTACCGTTTTAGACTTGTACAAGGGATGAAACTCTCCTACTATATAAAGGGAAAGTTTTTCTTTTGTAACACACGAATAAAAGCAATACAAATTCATTCTCTGCTTTCTAGCTACTGCAAAAGTTCTTATTTAATTGTTCTATTCTTTGTTCATAACCGGGCTCGAGCCAAGGGTCCAATCGAGCGCAAAATTACTGTTCAACCAGGTTCGGGCTAGGCCATAACATCATAACTGGTTTGATAATTCATTTTGTCTTTAACTCGTTTATATAATATTCTTGATTATTGTGTTAAATCAATCCACGTATCCTTAAAACCGCGTACAAATCTAATTATTATCCGATTTAAGGGTAAACAGCTTAGCACCCACCATGGGGCTAAGGATAATAGGGGTGATTTGATACCCTATTTTACGCTTGTTCTTAAAAGTCTTAATTTTAGGTTAGCC